AAAATAACACTGAAGTTTTATTATTTGATAATGAAGTTTGTATTATAGACCAACGAAGTTGTTGTATGCATTTAGCTAAGGACAATCGTTATTGTAATACCGAAATAAGTTGTGTCTACACGTACAATAGATATCCATGCATGGAATATGGTAGTCCTTTAATTTACCAGAATGAACTTTTCGCCATTTATTCAACATTTGAAGGTCTAAATTGGTGTCAACCAAGTTTATATGAAACTCCTCTTTCGTATGTTCAGATAAAACCATACCTAGACTGGATTACTGAACATAGCAATCTAAATATGTATGATGTTGATATACATAAAAAATATTTAAAAATTTTTCACCTATATTTTAGTACTTTACATAAAGATGATGTGTTTACTTATGTATTTGCAGCTCACATTTTTCTGTTCCCTCAAGGATTGCTGGAAGGTATCATTAATAAAATCATTAATACTAAACAGTTTTTTTCTTCGGTGGTGATTTCCAAACACAAATACTTATAATGGATATCAGTGATGTTACTATTGGAATATTATTTAATTTTTTAAAATAGTTGTATTATATGATTAAAAAAGTTTCCTTGATAGAAAAATTGGTAAAAAATAAAGGTGATAGTGGTTGCAGTATATTTTATCATTAAATAAATCGATTATTCATGTAAACTAAAAATATTAAACATAAAAAATTGTTTAGTAACTAAAATTAAAAAAAAATTTTCTTTGAATATAGTTTAAAAAAAATACTCTGATATATAAAATTTCACGACATTTAAGGTAATAGGGGATAAGAATGTTTTATTTTAATAGTACGTCGCTTGTTATTTACATTTAAATAAAAGATCGTATATTCTTGTGAATTGGCTTACAACTTGTACTTCTCTGAATAGTCGAGACAATTGTTATGTTTTTACCTCATAATTTTGTATGTCTGTGCATGTATAAATATTAACGTATATATCCACTTAATAATTCAGTCAAATGAATGTGAGAGAAAAAGACAGTCTCACTTTTATTTGAAGCTAGTACGTTTTTCAATCGTGTGGCAGTTGGAAGACAGTTTCCTTCCCTCTCTTGAACATGGAAGTTTTGTGCTTAAGCAAATTTTTCAATTTAATGGAGTTTCTTACAAATGTAATTTTTCTCATAGTTGGTAAAGAGCACGGAATACGTTCACATTTTTATAACGTCCATCATCTTAGCATTAAGATCACGATGGGTAAATATTTTTGTCCAGTCTCATGTTATTTTCATGTTTTTTTTGTTCATCCCTTTTTATTTTTGCGTTTTGGCAGCTTGAGCATATAATCAATGCTGATTAGAAACGTATAAATACGCATAAGGTACAAAATTTAATTCATTTTTTAAGCGATACTGATTCGCAAAAAGTTAACAACTACTACTTCATATACTTTTAGTTAATGAGAAGATGATTAATTTTTTTATCATGATACAACAATATTGTATAAAATTTTTATTTCGACCAGTGCAAGAAAATTAACCAAACGAAAAGAAAATAAGAAAGTTTTTCCATATTATTTACGAAACAAAGTATGAAAGCTTCATGGTATCATACACGTTTTTATATGACAACTGCACGTACGATTATATTTTTTCAACCTTTTCACGATAAGATTTCTAGTAGATTATAGTTACTTTTACATCATGATTGATTTTGAGTCTTTTCAACTGTACGATTTTGATCATTAGTGTTTTAAGTTTTACTTAATAAGTTTTTGTGACGATATGATGGATGTAAATCATGTTACAGAAACATCTTGAGCAATTTTCTACTATTCCTCTTTTACATACCATTCACTTCTAATTATATGAATAGAGAAATATTAACAGCTGTAAATCTTTTAAGACAAGAAGTTCTCAAATGTTCTAACTTTGAAAAAAATTTTATGATATTTCCTATGACGCATCCGTATGAAAAAAAAATTATCCAAATAGTTAAACAATGCAGGGTTCATGGAAATGAAATAAATATACGTTTCACGCTGTCAACGATGTATAAAACGCATCAACATTTGGTAATTGATTTTTCAAAGATTTACAATGCCTCGAGGAATTATAGTCACCATATGCATTAAATTGTAATGTTTGTAGACGTACTACGGATTAGTTTCTCTATTCGAGTATAACACATTAATTATGTATAGTTCGAAAGCTACGTACTTTCAGATTGTTTTTTTTAAGATTCCATTTTTATTTATTTTATCATTATTTATTTACGTTTAACAAAAAATTGTACAAATAATTATTGAAAATCTTCTTACGCATGTACGTCAATAATACCCATTTACACAATAGTTTTTATCTGAAAACAAAAATTTGCTTTGCTTTTACAAGTGATTGTACGATTATTATTTTAAAATAACTGCACGTTATTGCAGGAGTTTTTATTTCCTAGTACGCCTAAAGTATAAAATCTTAACTATAGCGGCATTTTATCATCAACTATTTATAAATGCATTTACATTATATCAATGCATACGCAACATAATTTAACATTTAACATTAAGGATAAAACTACAATCATATCCTGCGTGCCAGTACTTGTGACACTCATGATCGGTTTCTTTCACATTCATGTCCAACTTTTGTCTTTGATCACTTACAATTTGGAAAAAACAACGGCACGCAGATTATTTTCTTTCAACATCCTGCACTTTTACGCTTACTCTCTTAATTATGTCATTAACATTTTTTATTATTACATTACGATTTACAGTTATATTATGACTAGTAATTTATGATAACATGATGATCATTATTTCCATAGATGTATTAGTAACAATAATAATTATCCACAATAATTTACGATAGTGTGTCAAATCGACTCGTTAGTAAAAAACTACGAGTCTTTGTTCCTTTCCCTATACGTAAATCGTATTTTCTTACTCAATTCCTGTGCATGGAGTAGAACACTGCAACTTACATTTCTTATCCGCCAAAAAGTTGATCGGCAGTCTCATTGAAAAACTATAAAATTTTAAGTACAATCATAGCGTAAAGTTATCCAAGAGTTTACAAATTACAAATCGTAACAATCATAAGAAAAGTATGCATATTACTACGCATAGTAACAACATCGATGATTTCAGTTGTAAAACCACTGATTTTATTTTTGATAATTAAGTTGCATTGCATGTATTCCGTATTACACAGACTTTTGTTTTTTTCCATCAATAATCTACAAATTTTCATATTTATTATTACATCTAGCATCCCGTGAATATGAGATCTCGCGTGTTCGTACACGCCTCTGTATATAATATACATAGTTTTCATATCGTATTATCACGCTCGTAAAGTTATAACAATAAAAACAATGTTTTACGTTTGTTTTCTGAATAAACGGGTAGTTGAGTTCGTCCAACACATGCGCCTAACCCTGGACCATTATTTTGCGCACTTTTCGTGGATTGAAAAGAAAAAAAAAAGTTTTTTACGTTTTTTCAGCTTAATTTTTATTTTATTACGGTACTTTGAGTACTTTTCACTTACGGTTTAACTATTTACAATGTACAAACGAGTCCCGAAAGTTATGTACGGCTTAAATTACACTTACATATATTTCCACTGGTCACCTATATTAATCATATAGTCCGTAAGCGACGAGCTGGTCAGACGATGCGATTGGCACATTTAATCTTTTACACGTATCCCTTTGATAATTTTATTTGAATCGAATACCTATTTTTTTCGATGATTGCATATTTCAGTACAGCCTGTGGTCATTTTTTCCGATTGCATAGGTAAAAAGACCATCGAGAGCCTTGGCTTTGGCTGAGCTGGAGCTTGAAATTCAGTTTCTGAGTAACTTTTTTCACAAGTACCACGAAGTCTCGTAACTTTTATTAATTTGACAGTATTGCTACGTTATTATTTATCATTTAATCTATTTTCGCACATGCAACTACGTTGCGGATCTAACAGAAAATTGAACTATGGTGACGATATTTTAACAATTCATTTTATTTGTTACTTTTAAATGGTAAGAATTTTACATCGGTACGTATATAGTTTTGCGTAGTGTTATTCGGTTTTTATTTACTTATTATTACACTGTCACAACATGAAGACCAATAGTCGATTAGATCCGTCAAACAGTACTAGGAAATTCTCTAACATCAGCTTGCGTTATAACCTAAACTAGTATTTGACTTAAATTCCAAAAATATATATATATATGTATATGTATATATGTATAATCATCAACACATTTATACTGTAAACAAACAGTTCTGTGTATTGTTTATACTTATCGATGTACAAAAAATATTCATTTTCATCCCTGTACATTGTTTAAATATGTCATTTAGGAACAGGATTTGGTTTTAATGTATCCAGATAGGAATGTTAATCAACAAAAACCATCGTCCAATTTTTCCTCCCTTTTTTAACTTTTTGAAAATGATTACTTTTTTCATTTTGTCATTTTGAAATTCTGTACTTTGTTCCATGAAATAAAAAAAAAGAATCCTCATCGAACTCGATTCAAATACATGTAAAAATAAAACATGCTGTAAAATCGTCGAAACATAGCAAAAAAATGACTCAGGAACTGAATAAACTCGAGCTCGAGCCAAAGCGCGAAAGTAGCACGACACTCAAGTGAGCCCCTCGTCGTCTGGCCGTTCCACAATGACCTCATGCTACGCAACATACTCGGGCTTATCGTCACGAGCAGTGTATCCCTGTTGCTGAGCCGCAACCCAGTATCCAGGGGACGCCGGAGCCCATGGCACTGCGACATCGAGCGTCGCCAGTTTAGTCAAGGGTAGTTGCTGCGGCTGGTTACTGTTGCGCTGAGGTTTGGATGACTTGGGCGGTGACTCGGCGAAGGTGACACTGCGTCGCGGTACGGCTCTACGAGGTGGTGGTGGCGGAGGAGGCGTCGTAGCTACCGAAGCTGTGGCCGAGACTGACTCGCTGCCACCCTCGGCTATCACATCCAGGGTGCTAGTGCGCGGCAGCGCGTTACCCATTATACCTGCGTGTGGGTGTTGCTGTGTACCTGCTCGGCCTCGGCATTGCCAATCGCGTTCGCTGGTGCGTAATACTGCAAACAGTACCATTTTACTTGGATTTTATGGATGATGCTTTTTTTTTTTTTTAATTTTTTGCGAGGGGCTGCGCACTCTTGAAGTCATTAAAAAAAACTTCGTCGTTCTAAGTCATTCTAAGTTTTTCAAAGATCTCGGAAGTCACCAAAAGACTTCAGAGTGCGCAGCCCCTCGATTTTTCGTTACATATTGTGCTCAAGGGCAGAGGTGATTAATCAAAGCTTTCAGAGGACTGTGATTGCTGCTTGAATAGTTTTTTTCAGCTATCGCATTCTTGTTTTGCAATAGGCTTTTAAAAGTGAACTCGTGAAAAAAATCTTCTGGTGATAGTAATGATCCAAAGTGCTATAAAAAACGGTATTTTATATTTGTAAGCAATAGCAGTGAAGAAAAAAAGATATAAAAAGATCTCAATCATCAAACTATTATTTGGAAATATGCAGTTACTTAAATTATTAACTTCGTATTTTTAATCCTCAAGGTGTGAATAGTCAAGGTTATTTTAATGTTTGATAATAAGCCTGTGTCATTGTACGAATCAATTAACAAGTAAAAATATAATGTGCAAACGGGTAATAAATACAATAATCATTTTGGATAGAGAATCAATAAGGGCATTGAACATTGATACAGCGGAAAATGCAGTCTATTATCAACAATACATAGGAGAAAGAGAATAAAGTACATGTAAAGCAAGTTGCAATAAACAAACACCAATTTTCTACTACTAAAATTATTGAAGTTCTTTTATTGCTACACTATAAAATTGCATTAAAATCATCTCTTCATTTTTTTTTTAACATAAATAATAATAATAATACTTTACTATTCGAAAAGGAAGTATAGAAACATTAAAATGCTATTCTTATTACATTGTGAAAGGTGCAGGAAAAGTAGTGTAAGGTTGGCTTTGAATCAAAGGCGAGTACTCACTTATGGTCCCGGGCAAGGCGCATGCATCCTCCGTCTAACTCTGCAGTCCGTACCACTAGAGAAAAGAATTATAAAAATAAAACGAAAACGATGGTACAGCTTTCTACAATTTTTAGCCAATTTACATCGCGCGTTACTGCACTTAGGCGTTTTGTATTGAATATTGTAAATAATAAAATTTAAATGTATACATATAAACGAGTATGGTGATGCACTATCGAGGGATGAAGAGTACGAGAGAGCGAGAGAAAAATGCACATGAATGCATTTGTTTAAAGTAAAATAATAAAAATAAATAAATGCATGGAAATGCGTATACATGTACATATTTATAATATTGGACGCAATATCCAGCCAGATGCACATCATTCAAAAGCAATATGTCCATTGTTTCATTTTGTAAGAATGATAAGATATTTTTTTACAATTCTTGAAATGCATATTTTCCCGCATGTGTACGTTTACCATATATTTCGACCACTTTTCTATATAGATGGTTACATTTCATGGGAAAAAACTGGTCCAATTGAACTAATTGCATGCTAAGCGCTGAGTTGACATTCGATCACAAGCTAAGCGTTACATCAAGATTTTATACGGTGAGTCTTTCAAAGGTATTTCTTCATGACGCCCAGAATTTGTTTCATCAATGTTGAAAAAAAAAAATAAAACAAGAAATAAATTAAAAAAAAATAATAATAAATAAATCAATGAAAATACGACACGTGAAAGCGTGATATTCGTTTGCAAATGATAGTAGCTGGCAATGATGATGGATATGTTGGTACGACTTACCCGGCCATTGTCGGAATCTCGGCCACCACCGATTGTCAGGCGCGCCTTCGCCTTCATCGCGTCCGACAGAGGAATCTAAAACATTAGTTTCTTATTTTACAGTTAGCTTGCAAGTTGTAAGATTTGTTCGTAAGATCTAACAAATACATATTGGCACGAGAAAAAGTATTTTTTTAATTTTTATTGCGGCTGTACAATCGAGAGGATAGATCTGTGTCCAGATAAAGATCAAAATCACACCAGAAAATATGTAGCCAGATTTTTTTTTAAATTTGTTAAGATTAAATATCTAATAATTATAAAACTTACTGTTGAATCGAAGCTTTCTCTTCAACAAAATAAAAATCAATAATTAGGTATTTTTGGCGTTTTCTTTGAATTTAGTTGTTTTAACATTTTTTAAAATGATGACTTTTGATTGAAGCTTATTACATGTACATGAAAACTGAATGAAAATTACTCAGCTCAAACTTTTAAAAACTACAGAAAAACTAATAAGTAATATGTTGTTCTCCCAAAAATCAACTTTCATGATTTTTGGAAATTTTCAAGAGCTAACAAAACTGAAAAACAAAAAAATGAATAGGTACAGCCAAAAAATTACGTTTATGAATTCTCAATTACCAGAAAACTAAATTTTATTTGTTAATCAACCAGTATTTCACCACTATTTTAATTGGTTCTTTACAACGCTGTTAGTTCTACTAAAATGCAAAAATTACCGGAATAATTTTGATCCTTGTATGCCTGACTATAGCTTTGTACTATACTAATACATAGGCACCGACGGCTCAGTCATACCGAATTAAAATACTTTCAACTCGTACCATGAAAATCCATACTGATGAGGACTTCAGTTTTAATAACTTAGATGATCAATGAATTGATAATAAAAAAGCTCTACTTGATTTCAAAAATTCAGGCCAATAACCGAAGTAATTCATCATCAGTACGTTCAAGGAAAATCATGGATTAGCAGCTTACTTTTGCTCTCGTAGCCTCGGTATGCGACTTGTAGCAAAACTCGATCAGTGCGACGCTAAGAGCCAAGAGAAGACCACCAATGAGGATGTAAAATATCCCGGCCACGTTGCTCAGCGACAATTCATTCCTCGACGTGTCCTGTTTGTCGCTATGTCGGCACTCCGTACGCTCGTACCACCACTTGTTTTGCAGCTTGGCCAATTCACCGCTCTCCTTCAGTGACAGCACGGCCAGGTTGATACTATCCCTGTGGCATATATGTACATTTCGAGATTCTCAGTGTTAATTTTCCATAAAAAGCAATGTCCACAATATCACCGCTTCACCACAAACAAAGTATAAAGTCCCGCGCTGCCGGCGGGTGCGGCTATGATAAATACTTTTCCACGGGAAGATATTATTATCCAAGCGGACGGCAGCGCGTCCTTAAACGACCCAGGAATAAAAATGCTAATTGCAAGAAACGACTCGTTAAAACTCGAAAGTAGCACCGGCGCTAAGTAATGACCCATGAAGACGCAACCGAGATTTTCATGTTTTAATTATGCACACGATAATGAAGCTTCCTCTCCTCTCTCTCTCTTTTATTCTCTTCCACCAAAGTTATTTTAAAGTTTGCTTTCTCAGAGAGGTGAGTAAAAATTATTACGTTGCATAGGAGCTGATAGAAAATTTTGTTTTTTCGATGTATCCATACGGAAGCCAATGAGAGCTAGTGTCACTGTATACCCATTTTTTGATGGTCTTATCGTGAAGGCGGTGAAGGTGGATAATTGTTTCATTTTCTTTAAAAAATTATGGGGAATTTAAGCAATTAAAGGTATTGCGTGCGTAGCATTTTTTTGTGAGAAAGACTATAGGCTTTTCAATATGCCCGTGTCCACAAGCAAAAAGTGCCCAGCTAACTTATAAAAAATTCAAATTTAGTCGTTGAGTTGGATACTCTGATGGAAACAATTGTCCGACTCGGAACATTAAATCAACAAGAAACCAAGGTTTGTTAAAGTCAAAGTCTAGTCGCTGTTTGTTCATTATTATCTCCGATACTTTGCTTACAATAGACAAACTCGAAAAGTACTAGCTCGTCTCCGAATCTACGTTAATCAACAGCCAAAAAGGGACATCTATCAAGCATATCGGTGTAGAAATATCATCATACTTATAAGAGACCAAACATGGAGAAAAAAATATCATATCATATTAACATTAAGGAGTTGCACAAACGATTTATTCAGTATTCGAAAACGAGAAAGGGCCAAATAAAATAACGAACGATGAAATGATGAACGAACCTGAGCGGCGAGCCCAGAGGCGTGGCGATGCCGAATCCCTTGACGTCCAGATTCCGTCCGACCTTCATAGTATCGCACGGCTCTCGTTCGTTGACGTAGTCATTCTTGGGGCTCTCGATGAGCAGGGCGTACTTGCCCTTGCTCATCCTCACCCGCTGTATACCCTCGTCGTACGACTTGACTTTCACGTTGTTGTCCTTCATTGTCCTGTACATCTGCTTGTAAAGATCGATCTGCGACCTCTGCAACAAACAACCACCGCGCGTTAAAAAGCCAACCCCTCGGGGATTGCTCCTGATTGAGCCTCACCTCGAAAAAGCTCCAGGTGGAGCCGCCCTCCAGCGTCCCGTACTTCACTTCGGATTGAGCCGCCAGGTCCTCCGGCGAATTGATGGGCGTCACCATGCGCTCGACCGTGAGGAACGCCGCCAAGTTCGCGGTGTACGAGGATATCAGGATCAGCGTGAAGAACCACCAGACGCAGCCGACTATCCGACCGGAGATCGATCTGTCGATCCAAAATCAAATTTTTTACACGCGCCGTACGGGCTACAAAGGTTCGAAAAATTGCGCTCGATAACGAGAAAACGAATCGCTCATTAAAACCGTAGAAGAGGGGCGTCCAGGGCTGTAATTAACCACGATACCGGGGAGCCGAACTCGCGGGAGTGCCGTCATCCATTCCCCCGTACTCCTGTCCGGCTGGCCCGTGAAATTCGATAACGTAGCAATTTGCGTGGCCCGGCCAATATCTATGCCCCGTCCCCTTCGTACGTACGGTAGATATCGCAACGTTTCGGGATTCGTTTCACGAGCTGCAGCTCCGCGATTAATTTACATTTTCAGGCTCTCAAGCACCAAGGCCCTTTTGATTAATGGCTCAAATATTCCCCCGTGGGCGTCGATATGAATTGTAAATTATTCCCCCCTCGTGGCGTTACTTAAATTTTCCTTTCTCTTCGCCGTCGCCGGCCCCCTTATCCCCCGCGAAAGACACTTTATGCAAATTCTCATTATTAAATAGCACCGGCGTCGTCGCCGGCTACGACGTTAACCGGGTTACGTCCACACCGACGACTTTGCTGCAGAAGAACCGCCCGATATATCTCTCTCTAGGTGCCGAGAATAAGAATAATTGTTGATGGTCGAGTAGGCAATAGCCGATGTGAGTAAACGTCTTACCGGGGCGAGATGTCGGTGCCCTGTTGCATGATGGCGCCAAGGGAGAACCAGAGGCTGTTGAGCAGAGTAAAGTCGTTGACCATGCTGGTGTGCTGGCCGTGGGGCGAGCCCTGGGCCCCGTGCGAGTGTTGGAGACTGCCGTCCCGGGACACCAAGCTCGGGTCTCGGCTGGTGTTGAGAGTCAGGACGCGCCACTCGTACGGGGAAAACCTGCGGGAACGAACGAACGATCGGATGGAACAGTGCGTCTTTTCCTCCCCCCCCTTTTCTTTTTCACCAAGGTATATATGTATATATGTACCTGGACACGATGAAGAGGACTACGGAGACGCCGATGCAGGAGAAGACGATGCACACCCAGATCTCCTTGCTGAGGGGGTTGAGGAAACTGAAGACACCCGGGTTTTGCTTGACGGGCTTTTTGATCATGATGCTGATGCCGAGCGACATGAAGGGCTTGCTGAAGTCGATCACCCGTTCCCGCTCGGACATTATCGTCATCGGCGCGATCGCCATGTCTGCCTCCTGTGCGCACAAAGAGACAAATAGGGCTCAGGCAAAAAAGTTCCTTTTATTTTACCAATACCGATTTTTCATCACTTTTATCTACGATAACTCGTTCATTTTCAATCGAGTTTTCCCGACATGGGAACATATATACCGTCCGTCAGCAACAAGGGTAACTTTCAGCCCTGGGGTGGCTAAAACGGGGTGCCACGTTTTCGAGATTGGCGAGAGCTGCGAAAGATGGAGCGAGAGAACCGAAAACGTTCGAGCTTGCAAGCTCGAGGCATCTGCCGTGAAACGTTAGAGCTATCGCGTCGAGCACCGTGAATAAAACAGTTTTTCCCCACGCGTGTAGGGCATACCTCGTCTGATCAATACCTGGTATACGATAAACTGTAATATAGCATGCCTCACTTTTTTTTTTTTTCCTTTCCGTGTGGAAGCTCAACACGTGATCATCAACTTTATTCCGTTTTGCAGTACCACGAAGCAATCGGTAATGGTCGGGCTAAAGGCAATTACATTAAACTAAACAGCCTTGCAGACTGTGGGTGGACAAAATTCCTACCTATTTCGAAATTCCACGAGATCACGGGGTACAATATTTGGGGAACTTTCGGCGCTCCCATACGTTCGTAGTTGGCGTTTCCGATAATCCAGTGGTTAAGCTTATTACGCGGTCGAGCGATACAAATCATAGATGGATTTCCCCCGTACGAATTTCCAGTCCGTGCATAGTAGAACCAGCTTTTTGTCCGAATTACCGGATAGGTAAAATACGTGAAAGAAAGTGTGGCCACGAAAATGCTGGCCCTCCATTTGACCACAGGAATTTAAGGGCTGTATCAGCAGTTGCCGTGTAATTTGTGGCTTGCGAGATGAAAATACATATTTCTCGGCTCTTTGCTACCTCGTATTTTCTCACCGATACACATGCAAAGAGGAAACAGGAGGAGGAGAAGGAGGAAGGCTTGGAGCTTTTTTCCATTAATATATAAAGATTAGGGGGCAGGAGGGGTGCGAGCGCTCGCGTCATCGTATACATGCGACTGAATTACCCTTCTGATGAGCTCCCCGACCATGCCGTCCCAGCCTCCCGGCTGATCTGGATTTTCCGAGCCGTATTTTTTGTCCTTCACGATCTGCAGCTCCCCTGCAAGAGAAAATTGTGTACATGAGCGAGTGAGTCAATTTATACGATGGAACTTTATTGCTCTTGCTCGTACTACCCGAGTTTGATTTTTCTTCTGGAAATTGTTTTTTTTTTTTTTTTATTTTTCTTTTCTTACTTGGTAAAAGATTATTGTACTTTACAAAATTATGCATTATTCCTCCCTTACTGGATGTACATTGAAAAGTTTGGATGAAGATTATATTTTATATAATTCACCGTAATTTTTGAGCTTTCGTTTATTTTAGCTGTACTTACAATCTTGACTCTACTTAAAGGGAATCATTTAATTTTAGATGTAAAATACGTACTTGATGAGTAAGGATATTAAAACTTTTTAACTATATTTTCAACTTCTTTCAGTCAACTGTTGATTATTTATTTATTTTTCTAACGATAAATTTATATTCATCGTTCATTGAAACATTAGAAATTAGAAATTTATGATATATTGGCAAGCAACATTTTACAATACAATGCTAAAATAATTATTGCATTAGTCTACAAAAATATGTAGGATGTACTGAATTTTTAAAAGTTACAGATATAAAATCAATCAAGATTGTCACACCAAAACTTTATAAAACTTTAACCATTAGTGTACGACAAATGAAAATAATGTACATCTTAATAAATTCATCAACTCACAGCTTATGTTTAGCTTATTAGTAATGAGCTCGGCTAGATCCCTGCAGTATCCCTCGTACAAATCCTTGGTCTTGTCGGGTCTTCTTCCGTCAAATTTCTTCTCCATTATGTACGGCTCTTCCTGCGTTCGAAAACAACAATAGGAAGATTACAAATAATTTCATTTCGTTTTTTGATGAAAATTTTGGTAAAAATACTTGCCACTATTGTGGTTATGATGTAGGTCTTGTTTTTGACTATTTCGGACTTGGGATGCCGATCGCGCCTCGTAGGAACAAGTTGGTAGCCAGAAAAATCCTTCCACTCAGCGACCTTTTAACAGAAGAACGAAAATCAATATGTACACTATGGTCTTATGTTTCAACGTACATTTCGATAAAAAGCTTATCCATTTCTAGTGTAGGGTTACCTTCACGGGCGCACTATTGACGGTCATCTCGACGACGTCGAGGGTGTAATTTTGACGTCGACCCTCTTCGCTGAACTTAATTTGACCGGTCAGACCTACTATGTCAACCTGCGAAATTGAAAAGAAAAATCGTCTCTCGTCATTTTTTAACCATGAAAGTTTGTTGTTGTTGTTGTCCTGCAACGAGCTTTTTTTACCGTAAAATAAAGTTGACTACTTTTGAGATAAAAATAAATAAAGGTTCTCCACTCTCTCTTTTTTCCTTTATTTTATTTTTTTAACCGAGCAACTTTACTATCCCTCCGTTGTTTTATGCCCAGCTAACGTTTTATTGGGTCTAATCGATGGATTACGGGGAGAAATAAACGTGCAAGGATTTAACGTGACTTTTACGTGTCTCTCTTTCCCTTTATACGTAGCAGTTTCAAAACTACCTGTGAGTACTTTTTTTTTTATTTTCGTAAAAAAAAAAAAAAATTGATCTAGTTACGCGCAACCCCAGTGCACGTTATTACATATTTTTTCATGTAACTCGATGCCACTTTCTTGTAAGAAAGAAAAAAAGAAAAAGATTCCTATCCGTGAAAAGTTTACAAACGTAATGCTGAGATTTTCGCGAAAAAATAGTCCGAGGCCAATTTTCTCGATCCCTCTCTCTCGTTCACGACGAAAGCAGCATCATCTTCCGAACAACTTTTTTTTTTCTTTTTCCACGCCAAGAGCAAAATTTCGAAAACTTTTCCGATCTGCATCCAGTAGCTTTCCCTCCCCCGTACACACGCAATCCCTGTACACCGTAGTATAAACAAGCTCTGCGTGCCATTGACACTCGTCTGAGAGCTGGTCTGTTGGTGAAAAATTTCACCCTTGGAAAATCCCTCTCCAAGAGGGAGAATCTCCCAGCACTCGGGATTCCAGTAGCGCAGAAGAAACGCCAATTAGTGTCAGTCGCAGACGCGTACGTGTACACACACTCTTCAAGTATAGCTACTTTTCAACAAACGTGTGCTTCGTTTTTTTTTTTTTTTTTTTTTTTTTAATGTATAAAAAAAAGAGAGAGAGGGAAAAGCACCGTCGTAAAATTGGATACCTTTGCGTGGTACACAAGAGGAGGCAAAAGTCATTTCCTCGAGGTCTAGTCGAGGTGCCGTTCGGCATTCTCCCTCCTTTCTTGTTATACCTTCGTTAAGTAGCTCGTTGACGCAGCTAAGGGTCTGCCGCGGCCGCGAACCGCTTATTCTCCCCCACCCCCTTTTTTTCTTTTCCACGAGTCTTTCTTCTCTTTATCTGCGTTTATTGCCGGGCAACGTTATACCCTGGTTAAGATGTGCCCACAACGAAAAGCAAAAATATTCCACTGCTTACACCCTGAACGAATGAATATGTTGGGGGAAAAAAAAAATATATATATATGTATGGACGACAAACCAGGGGAAACAATAACACGTCACTCGGCTGTGCGAATCGAGTTGATTCACGGAGGTACGAGAGAGCCGTACTTTTCACAAAAGAAAACAGGGATGTATGTATGGGCGGATAGATGGGCTGCATTGTTTCTGCCGGCAGTGGAAAGAAAATTCACAAATTGAAGGAAGAAAGAAAAAAGTCACCACGTACACCCAACGGCTTCGTATACCGATTGTACTCCAGCTTCGATTGAAAAGTTCTTCCGGAAAAATTTTCCCCACCCCCGGACTCTCGTCCTGTATAGGCTCCCTTTGAAGCGCGCAGTACAGTATACAACGCACACACGGATGCGAGAGAAAGCAAAAGAAAACGGCCTCGCAAAAGTTTCGACGCGACGAGTTTTCACTGTCAGTCTACCGGTGAAATCAAATTTTCGCGAAGAAGCTAGGAGGAAGAGCATAGAAGGGCAAGCAATACCTCGGTCCTCTTGCTGCATAAATCAGTACCCTTTCAGGACTTTGGACTGGCTTCTCCTTCTCATTCCTATTCTTCCCCCTCCCCCCCCCCATCCCATCCTTTTATTCCTACTGCAACTGCTCCATTTTTTTTTTTTTCGTAGCATATTGCGTACACACGCTCTCTCCCCCATGACTGTCCTTTCCTCGCAACGCGGTCCTGTCGCTCCGATATTTTCCTCTCGACACGATCGAAGGACGAGCGCGAAACTGGTTCCGATCCCTACACGTCGTGCTCTTACGCGCCACCAGATGATTGTTTTTTTTTTTTCTTTCCTTACAAACGTTTGTTTTTGATAGGATATACGATCGCAGCTCGTGGCGATAGCGTGGACTTGTATTTTGTGTTTTTACTTGTAAGTTTTTTTATTTTTTGGCTTACCTTGCGCAGCTGCTTGACGATTTTCTCGCCGTGCTCAAAGTGCGAGACGACGCCGTTCTTCGAGTTGCAGTCGAGGGTCAAGTTGCTCGGCTGGCCGCCGATGGACATCGAGCCGGTGCGACGTGGGTTGTTTTTGCTCGTTTTCTTGCCGACGAATTTGTTGAAGCCCTCGAACAGCACGAAGACCGCGTCGTACATCAGGGCTGCTTGAGCCTATGGCGAATGGTACATATGGGAGTGAAATAGTATATTACTCACTTAGGGAGGAAAAATAAAAAATGTCTCAGATTGCAGGCAATTGACGCCCGAGGGGATAAGCGTGCGATCTGAGGGATTCTTTGTCTCCACCCGTGGGTTGTATACGATTTTTCATCAATCCTGCGCCGAGAGAAGGGATATGATGAAAAAATTTTTTTTCCCTCTTATCGTTGATGCTGTGTGTGTTTGTTGGATAATGTTTTCGGGGCAGCCACACCGTACGAGATAGTTGGTTAACGAAGACGAACAAAAAGGTATCGCCACACAATTCTGTGTGTATTGTCAACTAAACATTAATATTTAAAGTGTTGGAAAACCCTCCTAAACTGATTGATTTTTGACCGCGAAATCAGCAAAATCAACCTAATGCACGTACCGATTTCTCGAGTGACCTATAATTTTAACTATTTCAATCTCTGGATCAAAATGTTGTTGCTGCGAACGTCCTTGTTTGTCTCGACCGAATTGATCTCGTAGTATTTTTCCAGATCACGCACTTCATTTGGGACACCCTTGAAAAACGATTCCATAAAAAACGTCAAAGACTTATCATTTAGGGAGATGTGAATAAAAGAGAGTCCAGAAAAACTGGGGGGGCCGGGCGGAAATCGCAAATGCGATGTAAACCCCCAGCGGGAAATTCAAAAGCACTCACGCGCCAACAGACGCAACGAGTAAAACGAAATGACCCGAGCTCACTGATGATACGGGGAGCATTTTCCGGCGAACAAACGTCAAAAAGCTCGCGCTGGCTTGTAATAAAAAGTTTTGCGCGCCACAGGAGAGCAACTCTAAAGTGCCCAGCGTGATATTCGGATGGCTTTACGTCTTTTTGAAAACATGCGCTTAGTGCGGCTCTCTTTTTCTCTCTCGGCGTATCTCACGTGGTCGGAGGGTTGGGCTAAATTTCTATAGTCCATTTCGAAAGCAGACAGGCGCTCATATTCTACGCGAATAGGGGGGTAGGGAGGTAATTGCCGCGGGAAACGATAGGGCGAGCTTCGACCGTTGTGCGTTTAGGGGAATATTTTTCTGAATGGTTATGGCCTTGGATGCTTTTTTTTACAAGATTGGCATTTGTGTTGCTTTGTTTTATTTTCTAGTTTTGTTTTTGTAGTTTTTGCTTCATACCGTTTCAAGTAGTTCAGTCAGTCAAGTATACCTGTAGGTAGTTATTTCATTTGAGTTTTCGTCAATGGAAATTTATACGACCTGACATGATAATTTACATACATAGATACGGTGATAATCTAAAATTAAAAAAAAATGTGTTAAGCAATATTACAAAATAATGGTTAATCTCACGTGATGACGGATCCGTCAAAAACCGATTAAAGACCACGAGCAATGACTAAAAAACTTGTAACAATTCGAGAGCTAATTTTTTGCTCTAAATTTATTTTTCATGTAAAAAAAATAAACACCAGCGGAGTTGGTACGAAAATTAAAAAAAATCACAGCAATGTGCTACTCTAGATTTGTTATTCGTTGTAACACATTTTTTGAGTAAATTTTACTCTATAAGCTATAGCAAAACATTGCAAAAAAAACCTTTGCCCTTTTTGAAATCCAATGTAACTTTGATTCCTCAAACGATCTCATGCATGAACGAATTACAAAAATATTAAAGTTTGATGGTTTGTAATTTCTTTGCAATTTCATGCCAACAATTTGAACGCAACTTTTCCAACAGCATTTTTTTTTTTTTTAACTTTATCCAGTAACCCCAGTATGAAATTGTTCATACGAGAAAATGTACTGTAAAAAAATTTAATTCACATAAAAGTTATCAGAATTCAATGAATTTTTTTTCCAAGACTATCAGTATTTAAATAATTTCAAACAGAAAATATGAACCCCTCAAAGCTCTTTAAAATTTCCGCAACAATAAAACGTACCTACTTCAATCACAAAAAAAAGGCCCAAAGGATAATTAGAATTAAAAGACGCACAGTCGAACGACTCGAAACTCAGAAAGCCCGGGTAAAAATAAAATACCGCTAGGGGGTGGGGTTGGGGAGGGAAACACCCTTACGAGAAACATCAGACGCCACTCGAGCCGCTCTCGAAAGCAGCGTCGTCCCCAGTCGCAGTCCCTTTGCACACGACACAGCCCAGAAGGGGGATGAGAAGGAGTATCAGCTCCTGCCCGACTTTCTCCTAATTTCCCGTGCGCCGTGCAGTTTTGACGCTGTCACGCTTACGCCCCAAGGGAACCCGACGACGACGAGTCGCTCACTCCTGTCCAGGAAAAGCCTCACAGGTTCAGTCCCACAAACACACACTCGCACCTGTATATGTGTATACATGTGAAAAAAGATAGATAGACAGGGAGAGAGAGGGGGGGGGGCTCGGTGGCATACTTACGGAAATGGAATCGCGGCCGGCGCCCGGGAAGAGGTTGCCGGATAGCTGGCGCCAGCCCACGAGGAACTCCTTGACGTGGGCCCGGTTCGCGTCCACGATCCGAAAACCCGTGATGTTGATGGCGCCGTACTCTATCACCTCGCTCTCCCACCGATCGTCCATTATCTGATTAAGATGTGGCCGCGTTGCCGCAACCACCGAAACTTTTAGTTTTCTCCCGAGCGCTTGTATGTACGCTCGTGAAGGTATACCGATCCTCCTCTTGTCTCACCCTCTCTTTTCTTCTCCGAAGCTGTACGCGTGTGTCTATACCTTTCTTTCTGTCCGAGTGGACATGCATCTTCTCGAACTTTGGTAGATAATCATGTGTATGTACGTGTTAAATGAAAAAAGTTTTTTTTTTTTTCAACTGTAGACCGTACCTTGAGATTATACCAGCCACTTGAAATATTATTACTATTTTAATGACAATCGATAGCTACATAGCAAGTGGTTAAAAATTACAGCACCCCCGGCTTTCTTTTGGTAGTACTTTGCTATTTTATTCACAGAGGAGGTATAAGTGATGCCTTTATTTTACTCGTCAATATGATAGTACTGTTACGACTAAGTTTTAACAAACAAATTTTTTTTCGGTTTAGCTAGTTCTTTACTGTATTTTGAGTCGAATAGTACTCTCACTAAGTTTCAGATACGGACATTGTATCCTAGAGATGTTGCAGGAAAAAATTCTAACGCAAGAAACAAGAAAGTATAAAAAAATCTCTCGATTCAATGCGCAATTTGCAATTACAATACATATTATATGTTCGTTGTCAATTAAAAATTTTAGAAGATCTACGTTAAATCAAACCTAATTATAGTTTTTTTTTTCATTACTGATTGGGACACATTTTTGGAACACGCCAATTCACCATTTGGACTACGAATCGTTTCACGGGTGTACCTCTCCGAGCCGATCAATCAAAAACTCACGAAACCGTCTCTCCTTTGGAGGTGAACGCACCTGCATCGGTGATCGATTAAAATATCAAACAGTGGCCATTAGTTGAAACACGTACCCCCCGTTTCTCGTTTTTCTCTTTCTTCCACCCCAAGTTTCACAATCTCTCCCTCACTGGTGCTTTATTTCCAACCCGATAGAGAGTAACGCGGTTACTCGCAATCACGACGCTAACTCGATTACATTCCCCCTTTTTTTCCGATCCTCTTTTTTTTTTTTTTTTTTTGTTAATTTTAATCATCGCGTAGCCGATTGCTTTGCTAATTAAAGCTCAAAAAGAAACGAGCTCCCTTTCGTTTCGACGCGCGTTAAAAGCCCCGTCTCTCACCCCTTCGCCTTCGTCCCGTGTATCGATTCATCTTAACCGGATCGAATGAAAAAAAACTCCAGAGCTCGTCTGCTCTTTGTCTCCTTATTCCTCGAGAGCTTGATTGTTTCCATGTTTTTGCTACGCACAAGTGAACGGAAAACCGGGAGAAAAGAATAACAAAGCTCGCCATCGATCCTCCTACATGTGGACGTATACGCGCTCTCCCCCCGAGCTAAGCCGATTAGCTTCGATAGTCGAAAAAATTGGAAAAGGAGAGGAATCGCCGGCTTTGTAAACGCTTATCGTTTCGCTCGTATAGGCGGGCTCGTCGTCCTTAAAAAAACAGAAAGAGTATATTTATGATTGAATCGTTCGAGTCGATTGTGAGACGGGAAAAATTGATCTGTTGACTCGGAGATCATTGGTTGTGTTTGTTTCAGCACACCGACAAAATTTTACAATATAACAAGGGGTTCTTTTTCAGTTTCTAAAGTGCCACTATTGAAATAAACGTAGCAGCAATACTCGACATCTTTAAATTTGCTTCAAAGTGTTATTTGGCATGGCAGTCATACTTTTTATACATTTGTATTAGATGTACGAGTCCGGATATTAAACAATATATTACGTGTCTAAGTCTTATGATTAGAAGAATATGGCAAAAGCTTAGGTAACGAAAAAAAAAATTTCTTATCAAAAATAATAAAAATCATTTTAACTTTTTCATACAATTTACGGGTACCTACTTATTTGGATACGTCACCTGCCCATGTCATTGTTTCTACAATAAAGAGTAAAAACGACCATCGTTATTTTTTCCTTGATTTTTTCCAGCTGCTCGTACACTACTTTTTTCCTTAACTTCAATACCCCCCACAGCCGCTACTCAACGTCACTTTACAGTAAACAACGTTACACAAACTGGCGTATCGCCAACGAAACGTAACGTATACACATCGTTAGCAAACACACTTTGCGTTAATTTAACAAGAATACGCGTCGCCCTTTTTTACAATTAAAGCGCCACGACAAGCTATTATACCTTATTTGACCCCTGCTACTCTACATTTTACACGTATGAAAAAAAAGCAATTTTTCGAGCGCGAGGGAGACCGTAAATGGTGCTCGTTTGCGTGTGGGTCACCGAAAACAGAACAGCACCGAGTATTTCTGCTGCCGTGGTTTCTGTAATTACCGTGTAAACAGCGTCGACGAGGGGTCACTCGCTTTGATTTCAGCTTCGGAGAAAGAAAGGGAGAGAAGACAAATTACCAACTCCACAATATACTCACGAGGCCACTTAAAAGATAGTGGTAGGTCCGTCGTCCAAGTGTTACGTCCCTCACGTGACTGACGACTATTTCCTTCGCCATGTCGGTCGGACAGTCGAGAACCACGTACTTATTGCTCCACCTGTGAAATCATGAGATTACTATTGCACGATCCTTGATGATTTTTTCCTGTACATATACCTTCCAATACATACCACCATACATCCAATCGTATTAATGTCTATTTTCAAATTCACGAAGCGTATCAATACATTGTAGTTAAGCTAACTAATGCTATTTGCTCGACTTGTTTATATACGCTCAATCGTGGCACGCATACACACGTCCGAGGAATACCTCGTTCAGTCCACGAAATGTATGTACATCAAATATTGGGATATTATCATGTACAAGCTTCCTAATTAAACGAGGCACAAACATCAAATACTTGACGGAACAACCGTGAAATGTTTTTCGCGGGTGTCGTTAGTGTTGGATGAAAAACAATGTAAATGGCCTCGATGTCACTGTCATGTCGAGTCTTGCCCGAGATAATACAAAGGTGCAGGTGATTGGTACTTGTAAACCATGTGTGCATACCATTAGCCAACAAAGCCAACTTGACTATGTGCTAGAGCTAACCAAATGTGTTTGATATGATGTCTATTGAGAGCAATGCCGGCGGGAGAGCTAACGCACCACGAAGTATTTCAGCGCACCGAGTGTGCTTTTTTTTACAGGAAAAAAGAGGAAGGACGTTTTTTTGCTCTGGTTTTTGGTTGTTGAATGAAGAGATTTTTTTCTTGGAAAAACGAGCAGAGTTTAAACAGTCGTTGGTGATGACGTAGGGGGAGCGCAGGAACCATTAAATTTGGCGTATTTTACCATGGACGTGGGTGATTACGCAGTACAGGAGATGGGTGCGAGCTCGGGAGATTATTGGTTTTTGGGAAATATGCGCAAGTGTAAGGGATAATAGGATTTGCCGGCGTTGTAAATTGCGCGCTTGCATTTGTAATCGAGGCTGATGATAATGGCCATGTGAGCGCGTGGTCATTTTTTCCGAGGCAATTTTTCATGGATTAACGGGAAAATAAATGGAGTTTGCGGTACTTGCGGAGGACCATTGTTTTCTTGTTTTGTTTTTTGATTTTTAAATCCTTTGGAGTTAAAGTGTTTTCAAAAATACAAATGTATCATTATTACCGCTCGTTTTAACTAATGATACAATAATTGACTATTTTTTACTATGAATATCGGTTGATGTAATTTGCGTGGAAAAAATGATTATACTCAAGCAATTTGCCAAATACGATGTATCTCGTGTCTTACCGATTGAGTTCCTCGATGTTGCGCAAGAAGTCGAGGGCCTCGGACACATTCTGTATCCTTTTGACGGTGTCAACTTGAAAGGTGTCGTTCCCCGGCTTGAGCCCCTGATAAATTTGCTGCAGCCTCAAGAGCCCTGCAACAAAAATCGGAGAAAAAAAACTTGAGCACCTCTTCTTCGACACGGATGATCGATCATCCTCGCTTCAAACGAGTTCTCCCGAAAATCTGCAATCACGTATACCATAATACATACAAAGCTCATTTCTACTCGTTCCGTCCACAGCTAAGTTGTTCCCTTGCAGCCACGTACACGCACGCATTTCTCTTTCCCGACCGCGAGACATTCGTCTCGTGTCTGCCACTCCCCCCTCCTCGGGTGAAAAAAGCCATTTGGTCGTGTATACAGCCAAGGTGTCGTGTCAATACCAATTTGCCGAGAGACACATTTTCCTCGCTCTAAGAAAAATGCCGGGAGGATGTTAGACGCGACGTCGATTAAGGAAAAGAGCGACCGCGCGGGCCTTTTGACTTGCGCCCGGGAATAAATTACCCCGCGGGACCGCCGCACAACTCCTTTTCCACGAGTGTCGATCCGAGACAATTCGGGTGATTGATGAAAGAGAGAAACATCTCTTGGGGTGGCTGCTGTTGCTGCTGCTTCTCTTCCTTTGAATTGTCTTGCGGGACACGCGCGAAATTAATGACGCGGAAGAGCTTAGTTTTTCCCAGCAGGTTCGCGCCTGTGCGGACCGTACCGTGAAAATTGGCTCGGGAGGGCCTTTTCTCTCGCTTCGCTGGAAAGGGAAATTATACGTCACCGGCTTTTATGCAAATCGATTTCGGGTGCAACTTTCCTTCGCTCGCGTGTTTTGTCGTGTTTTGAATCGCACGACTCGCGTGATGGATGACGGAAGCGATACTTTCGAAAATGAGATGCTCGAGAATAATGGCACGGGTGCTCTCGCGTTTCGCGATGAATTCGAATCGCTGAAGGGTTTTTAATTCAAATACGTGGGACGATTACGCTCCTGAAATTTATGGGGGCGGGGGTATTTCATAATTTTTTGATTTATACCCTCCGATGCGTTGAATATTTCACTCGTGAATAATTACAGGCGAATAAGTAGGTTTTTCGGGCGGAATTCAATGAATAGCGCATTAAATATTTATATCGTGCTGAATGCCATTTTTTGTGGAAACATAATCTCAACGAAGTATCAACAAAGCGAGAATCCTCCTCTCCTTCCATGTCCAAGATAGAGACAAAAAATCGAGATGTCCGTAGTGCAAGTGAGCATCTTGGTTGTGGATACTTTGAGCTCGTTTCGGATTCTTTCATTCCCACCCGTTCGTACAGGGGAGCGGTCGAGATGTTTTTTGTTTCAGTGAAGTAAAGAGTTGTTACTTTTTACGGTCTACTTCGAGCATGACAGGAATCGACGTGTTGCCAAACACAACGGTCGGTGCTACGTGAAACACTAACTGCCATACAAATTCGCATCTCAGTACTGAAATATATTATCGAGTGGCAAAAAATTACTGAAAAATTCAGTACTTCCAGATAATCTCGTCCCAATCGTCATCCTTCACGGATCCACCCTCCATAGACAATTTGCCTCACGTTTGCCAGCCAATAGCCCGTAAATAGTTAATGGTCACGTGTACTTGTGGACTTGTGTTCAAGAGCTGGGGCGTTTTTTCTTCCAGCGCACGCACAAAAGGCAACATCGTCGTCGTGTGGCGGGGGAAAAAAGACCGGACGAGCAGAACGAGGAAAAAGGCACAAGAAGATGAAAGCGAGCACGAAATTGGAAAGCGGAAAGAAAGAATGAAGACGACGTCGTGCTCGCAAGTCGGTGGCGTCTCGATAATTTTGCCCACGGAATCGTCGTCGTCGTCGAAAAGACGAGTAGCGTCGGTGAAAAGATTCCCAGGATGCAATAAAAAGGCCCGACGGCAAATCGCTCCTTCCTTCCTCACGTAGCCACGTCGTTCCGGAGCTGTTAGACAGAGAGATATATATATATATATAAAGGGGTCCGGTGCGCGTGACTACTACGACACGCGGCACATGAAAAAACGAGCTTCGCGCGCGGAAAAAGACTTTGAGGTGACTGCGGTCGTGTATGTGTACATGTACACCATTGCTGAAGCGCCACTGGTGTGGAACGAAAGGTTTTTGGGGCGTGGATTGAAATTATATTATTACAGCTGAATGGCTGTCGGAAAGTTTCTCGAATGGATGGAAGAACGAGTGGATCTGTGATTTTGTGGGTGCGGATGTTATTTTGAGTGTCATCGTCGACGTATGGGATTATTGTCGTGACGTGCCAATAGACGTTGGAGGGTGAGTTTTGGTAAAATATCAATAAAGTAATAATGAAGAAGTCGAGAAAGGGAAAGTTTATATTTCATTAGTGTTTTTGCTCTTGGTGAAACTGATGGAGCAATGCTGAAAAAAAAAACAATATTGATTCTGCTTGTATGTACAGTTGATTGGTTTATGATACGAATGTCCTGTGTCACCTTCAAAGGTTATTAGGATCAGAATCCCGTGGGTTACCCGTAAGAGGATTAATATTTCTCCCAAAGATGAATGAAACGAGCTTTGAGTCATACTGTTATACCAAAGGATGCTGCTGAAACTCCCATGAAATACGATTAATGGCATTTGATGTTGTCTTTGAGACTGTCAGGAGATTTTCATGTGGGAAAAAAAGGGATTTCACAAAAGTTTTTTATCAAACATAGCAATTTTCCGAATAATATGAGAAAAAGCGATAGAAACTTGAGATAAGAAATGTAATAATTACTTTACAAAAGCAATATAAAAACTAATAACATGTAAAATGTAAGGGATTTATACGTACTCACTGAGAAATTTATTGAATTCGAGATATTATATTATTATTTGGCCCAAATTGAAAATAATACATGTAAATTGATACTCCACTTTCTACTGACCTATGATGAAACAATGTTTACACTGGGCCTTTTTCACAAACTATGCAATATATTTGGATGGAACATATAAACTACGATTTCAACAAAAAGCATACATTTTGCACACGACACTGGCAACAGAGAGCATCCTGGTCTCAACTGCTCCTACTCTTGAAGCACCGTTGATTTCGCTAGTTCTTCCCATTTTCCAGGAATCACGAATCATTCACATACTCGCATATCTGCGTACCTATGGGTGGGTGAGGAATTCGGGACCACAGGAACTCGTCTTCGTTGTCGCCTACTCTATACTACGACAGCAAGAGAGAGAGAGAGACAACCGCAAGCCTTGTACACAGGATTGTTCGCCTACCACTGGTGAGTACATTCCTTCTCTCTCTCTCTCCCGTACTGCACTCCTCATTCTCTTACTTCTACGTCCTCTCTCTCTCTCTCTCTCATTATCTAAGTGTGGCCTCTTCTACCTTAAGCTTTGCGTTTGTTTACCCAACTATAGCATCGACTCGTCCTATTAGAGTTTGTATGTTTCGCCGTGACTTCCGACCTCTATCCGCTGCATCTCCGTAACAATCTCGCCCAAAGGAAACTACCACACACACACATACACACACACCCCAAGCTTCGATGAAACGTCACAGCGCTTTGCAAACACGTCAAACAACAAACGACAAAGTGAGCTTACGACTGTCAAAAAAATCCACCACTCAATGGAGTGTATAGGTACCTACTCTGGGACAGCAAGCGCAGATTGTTATAAATATAATATTCCGCGTTGCGCGCACCTTCTTCTAGTTCTGCCGAAATTCCTGGGCAATTCAGCCGCGCGACGACTAGGTCCGTTTTTGCTTCGCACCGACTTCTCTTATCTCTCGAGTTACACGCCCGAATGCTCTTCGTGCGCTGGTACACGAGGAGCAGCGCATAATTGCCGCATCCTGGAGAGGCTACAGGCAGAGAGAGAGAGAGAGAGAGAGAGAGAGAGAGAGAGAGAGATACGCACAAGCTCACGTACCGGGCGAAATGTCGAGCGTTTAGCTACGCTCTGCGACCCCCTCTCCCGCTCGCCCGAGTAGAGCCCGGGCAACGGTTAATTGCGCGAGGAAGCCCGGGCATCTCCCAAAGTTGTATTATATATCCCGCTGGAGTTGAGAAGAGCTGCTCGCGACGACGTTTTTACAGCGCCCGCATACTTCCGTTTTTCTTCTTCAGAGCCACATCCTCTTTGTAGTTTCTTTGTTTTTCCCGAGAAGGTGCAGGGAGGAGGTGGGAGCTCGAAAAGAGGAACTCAAGTGCGGGCAAAGCGGTGGCGCCCTGCGGTCTCTTCGACTGCTGCGCTGGCGTGGCGTAAAGCTTTTAATGGCTAGTAACCGCGCCGAGGGCGTACGGAGAACGAGAGGTTGTCGACTGCCACTGTTGTTAGGGAGTGCTGAAATGTGCGCAACGTCCGAGTATTTTTTTTTCGTCCATCGTATGGAAAGGAAGACGCTTGTTTGTGGTGGACAATTAGCTAGGATTCAGGGAACTCTGGAAGCTGAAATGCAGTGTTGAAGTAAAAGTGAATTTATTTCGGATTTTTTTTTACCAAATGATTGCGTATTTTTGAAATTTAATGACTCTGAGAACCATAACTGTTTTTTTTTTTTTTTTTTTTTTTTTTTTTTTTTTTCCACTTAGAATATGTAGCAGGGAGCCAATAATGAGTGATGAATCTCATCATAATTGCAATGTAACTCTATATTTCCCGTTTGTAAACATCTTGTCGAATGGATGACGAATGGGGAATAAGCAAGTGAAACTAGAAATAAAATCAATTGAATGGCAAGTAGTCAAATCCGTGTTTGGTCAGACGAGCACTTGAACCATGTGCAAAAAGCCAATAACAAGTGATGAATGAGGTTGTAATTGCAACGAAACTCTATATTTCACGTTTATAAATACCCAGTCAAATGGGGGATAAGTAAGTGAAACTAGAAAAAAAATCAACTCAATGGCAAGTAGAAAAATCCGTATTTGGTCAGACGAGCACTTAAATCATATGTTCGCAAACAAGCTTAGAAAATAACGCAGCTTTACAATATTTTTAGAATGAAATGCAAAAATCCAACAACACGTGATGAATCGGGTTGTAATTGCAACAAAACTCTATATTTCACGATTATAAATTTCCAG